TATTAAATAAAATTTTGTATTTTTAAAGTTAAAACGAATAAAATGAAAAAATCATAGAAAAAAAGTCACAGTAAAAAGTAAAAAAATCAATTTTTATCTTATTATGTTTATACTATTAGACACCTAAGATGCGAACCAAATAATGCCAATTTATTACATTTTATTTTTTTACAATTAATATATTTTATAATAAATTTACAAACTTTTAATTCTGTAATTTTTAACTATATTGCAAAATAGTATGCAAAAATGCATTAAAATTTAAATCTGTGAGAATTTAAAGTGAAGAATCGAATTTTAAGAGAATTCATGCTCAACATTAAAAATATTCGAAAGTAGAGAAGATTAAAAGGAATGATTGTTAAACAGAATCTTATTTTTTTCTTATTTTTCATTTCTGTAATTTTTATGTTTCTTTAATTCTTTATTATGTCGCTACTGTTCATCATAAATGCCGGAAATGTCTATTTTGACAGTATTGTGAATATCAGTAATTGTGCATATCAGAAGTCTCACTTTGACAGTGCTGATAATTTTCAATGCATCTCCGTTCCTTTATTAAGCCTTATGAATTTTCTGCAAGTACTTAAGAGTTTTGTCGTAGTAGGTGAAACGATTGCACACTTTCAAAGAACGATTTGAACCTGACCGATATTTGCAATTACCAATATCTTCAGAATTAAATTATTTATATGTATAATACCATATTAATATCGTCAGAATAATCGTTTCTGGTGTTTTATACTGCTCTCTTGCATATTTCTTCTTATTATATCCATCTGGTGAGTGACAATTATTCTATAATTATTTTTTCTTTTTTACTGCATATGAACGATTTGAATGTGTCATTTCACATTAAAAGTTTTTTTTACTAATTAATAATTTTACTTAATCGATCGACGTGAACGACATATTATCATTATTTTTTTGGGCTCACCGATTGAACTTGGGGATGTATCTTATTACATTTTTGTATCATTAGATGACTCAAATCAAAGATGACTCAAATTTATAATCGAAACATTTGGCACTTTTTATTAATAAAGTTAAAATTAAACATATAATTGCGTCCTTAACAATTCTCATTAGCATTATTATCGTCCATTATTATCATATCAAAAACTTTTTTCTTTTAATATTAAAATGCATATTTTGCTGTTTATGTCGATCAAAGGTAAAAATAATTAAAACGATTAACTAAAGTTATAATTTATAGTTGAAATATTTGATTTATTATCTATAGAAGTCATTATGTTAATTTTTCAATAATTTAGAATTTATATTATTTTATTTTGTTTCAAATTCTCTTATTGCCTGATGCGAATTAGTTTTTCAAAATTTTTATGAATATATAAATCCTTAGCATAAAATTGTGCAAACAATTCAGAAGATGGAATTAATATTTATATGTAAATTGATTATTTCTGTTTTTTTTATTTCTCGTTCGTTTTTATGTACATATTTTACGAAGTAAAAGTTACACAGATTTTGCTTTTCTACTAAATCATATATGATTTAATTCTCATTATTTTTTAATGAACTAGACACTACAGACGCGCATGGTGCGCACGATATTTATCTTTTTAAACAGAAAGAGCAAATATTGTGTAATACTCTTATATTATTAAGAAGATATTGACAATATCGACCGCAATCATGATCTCTGACGATCTCTCCGATAGATGGCGCACGCGTATGTTTTCATGATAGCGGGTATCATCAAAGCTTGTACTACACGTGTTTTCGCCCTGTTTGAGAAGGCGAAAAAAAGTGTGAACATCTAAGCAAAAAAGCGCGCGACGTTTTTTCAGTTTTTTTTTTCATAGCGAATTTTTAAAAGGCTATAACTTCTTCAAAAATAGACGTAGAGACATGGGACAAAGACGAATCTTCTTCATTTTGCATTCCGCAAATGTTATGTTAAAAACATACATTCTTATCATAATACATGTCATGTGTATATACAAGATGTCGGAATATATGCCAGAATAAAATATAAAATATCTCGTAAATTATTGATTTTTTTGTCATTTGTATCTGAATATTTTTTTTATCCAAAATAAATAGATGAATCATACTGCGTAACAAAAAATATATAATTCCATTTAAAAAAGTGGCGACTATATAAAAATCTTGACAGTGACGTCATCTGCAAATAAATCACTATCACAATCATGTGGCCTTCTTCAAACTCTTTTTATCAAAATGCTAAAAGCTCTTTTCTTCGATGCTAATTAGTTTCCTTGCTTACAGCTATAATAATAATAGAAGTTGTAGGTTTTGATAGTTATATGTGTATAGATATTATAAGATAAGCAAATTTTTAAAAAACTTTAACAATCACGCAAATTTCCATAAAACCATAAAATTATGATAAAATTTATTATAATTATATCTAAACAATCAAATATGTAATATTTGAAAAAGATAAAAATATAAATATATACAATTATTTTACAATTACTTTACAAAAGTCTCTTATTAACTTAATATTTTATACATTTTTTTTACAAATTTTCAATTAAATCAGAGTATTCATGATACATATCCATTCACTCGCTACCTCGAATATCGCGATTGTCGAAATATCGAAATATAGTCACGGCGGACCAACTACATCGTAGTAATGGAGTTGCCAATAGTACCAGTACTTTCTGCACTTAATTTGAGATAAACATGCATAAAGTGTAACTAATATAAATTAAGCATTATTTAATACAAAATTTATTTATTTTCAGACGGACCTTGGAAAATTGATATTACAACAAACAATAAACGATAAGCTCTGTTTCAAGAAAATGACAGCGATTGCAAGAATTTCACAAGCGAATATCGTGCAACCCTCAAAAAAACATACTGCTACTGTGTTTTTCTTCCATGGTTCTGGTAAAATAATGAGTTTTCTGTAAATAAAATAAAAGAATTAATCTATTAAAATGAGGTAGTGCAGATTATTGTAATCATGTTTCATTTTTGCAGGTGGCACAGCGGAGAATATGAAAGAATGGGTTAATATTTTTAACAGGGAAAAATTGCAATTTTCACATATAAAATTAATTTATCCTAGTGCACCTAGTCTGCCGTATACAGCAAATGATGGAATGGTAATATAGCATAATTATGATTAATCTTGGAATATTTATAACAATATTCTTAATTAATGCTGACTTGTATAAAATGTAATTTAAAAATCTTTGAGATAAATATCAACAATTGAAGTTAAAGTTTTAAATTTAATAAATAATAATCTAAGTTGTATATGTTTTTAAAATAATAAAATCATAGATCTGCATTAATTGGCAGACAAGATCATAATATCGAATAATTTTTCTTCGTTTCTTTGAATATGTATAAATTCAAGACAAATGCTTTATTTCGCAAATTACATGTTGTTAAATTTTACCTGATTATTTAATTTAAATTTAAATTTATATTTATGTCTTTTCATAGCTTTCATAGCTTTCTAATTAATAATTTTCACTATTACTTTATTGTAGATGCAAAATGTATGGTTTGATAGAATGGCAATATCTAATCAAGTACCAGAACATTTAGAATCAATCAACTCTATGTGCCAAAATGTGTCAGAGTTGATCGATCAAGAAGTAGCCAATGGAATTCCATTCGATAGAATAATTCTAGGTGGATTTTCAATGGGTGGCTGCCTTGCATTACATTTAGCATACAGATATCGAACAGCTGTAGCAGGCTGTTTCGCTATGTCTTCTTTCTTAAATAAGGGATCTGTAGTTTATGAGGTAAATCTATAATCATTAAACAGATAAGAAATATTTCATAACTAAAACAAGATTTTTATAGAAAGGATTAGGTTATATGTTAGGCGTTCCCAGATTTCTACAAATTTTAACTGTATGTTTTATAAGTTGAAAAAAGACGAAAAATGTCATATAAATATAGATCATACAAAAAAATTATAGAAAAAATATGAAACAAAAATTTGCATTTCAAAATGCCATTCGCCCATGTCAATACAAACTTGTGATGTAATACTGAATCGCCGTAGGAATTTCATGCTGATTTTACTTAATCTCTATAATTGTGTTGATAATTCTTTATATTGATTTATTTCTTGATGTGATTTGTATTTGATGAACTTTATTTTTCAATATATCCCATATAGAAGTCTAAAACTCATGATAAGATCTGCTGATTTTGGAGGCCAAAGTCAGTTCTCTTGAATCAGTTTTTTCAAAATAATGTTTAATTCTGTCGTATTCATTATACAATATTTTTTGAACAATCAAATATAATTATATAAAAATCCATATGCTATTCGAGAAACAGTTTTCAACATCAGTTCAATGATAGTATATGGATGAGCATGTGTAAACTCTTAGGTGAAAAAGTTTTTCTCGTAGATTTCATATTTTTGCTATATCTTTTTAATGTAGCATTTTAAGCCCTATGTTGATATTTTTTATGTCAACTTAATATAACATAACATAATATAATATAACATACTGTTGAAGTTTACATCTGAAGACAATCTGGATGTATGCAAAATATTTGATTTTATCAAATGACACTCTCCAACTCAACATTAAAACTCAGTATTAGATATTATTAATATTTTGCTTGTTTATTAATTATGATTGCAGCATTTGAAAGCGAATCCAGAATCTAATAAAGTACCACTTATTCAATATCATGGCACAGTAGATAGTTTGGTTCCTATAGCATGGGGTGAGGAAACTGCTAAGAATCTCAATGATCTTGGAGTAAATGTAAAATTTATGCCTGTGCAAAATATCAATCATGAGTTGAACCGTGAAGAGATTAAAAATTGGAAAAATTGGCTCCTTAGTATATTACCAGATAAATAATATAAATTGTTAAATAAAAATATTAAAATCATTGTTAGCTGTTATAACATGGAAACATGTTAATGTTATATTTATTTTTAAAAATTTATTACATCTAATTATTGTATAATTGTAATTTTGTAGCAATACATATAAATTGAATTTTATTACAATAACACAAATCATATGAATTGCTGAAAAACTAATAAATATAAGAAAGACCCTAATTTTCACGACGTGACAAGATAAATCGAGCTATCATACAGTCATTAAACAATTATATGGTATATGATGCATGTCATGAATAATGTTAATTCTTAAGATCGATATTTTAGCCTTGACCTTCAAAATATTTAAATTTTTGTGCAAAATTTATTTTATTTCTTAACTAAAATAAAAGTAAATTTTATTTTTCTCTAAATTATAAATAATATATTATTTCGGGAAAATTGTATAAAAGCTATTATTGCAACAAATTAAAAAATATGTTAATATTTCATTAAATTTCAAATTTTTCAAATTTTTTTGAACATATAAAACATTTGACATATAAAAATTTAAAAATATATCGTCAGATATAAACTTTATATAATGGCAAAAAGCGACACTGAAATCTTTTCATCCTCTATAATTATACGTAATCGTAAAATCGTCTGGACATTTGCTTTTAGTTAAGAATACCGTCATTATTAAGCAAACCTGGGAATTTAAATAAAATCGATGCTATCCGCTTGACCTGCTTTTTATATAAAACGAACGAGCGTTTATATTGTTGACTACTGCATTTATTATGCGCTTTTGCATAATAGATCGATCCGTTTTTTTACATTATTAATTTTACATTATTATTTTTCGTACTGTCAATTTGGAACGCGACATTGCAGCCAAACTCTTCGAATACACATGATTCATTTTAAATGTATGAAATGTTCTTGAGAATCTTTCCAGTATTTCTGTGAATCCCTTTTTACACTATCCATTAATTTTTGAATATTATGAAATTGAATATTATTGAATATTAACTTAAATATTTATCCATTTAATAAAAGCAAAATCATTTTCATTTTCATGAATCATTTTCATTTTATCAATGCATATTGCAGAGTAACAATAAACTGGTATTAACTTTAATTATTAGATAAATTTGACATAGAAACAACTTAGATATTTTCAAATTTGAAAATGTCTTATATTTGATTTTATTCATATATTTTGAGATTATATATTAAGATTTGCATTTCATACTGCAATGTTCAATCAAGTTCAATAAACTTAGGTAAATCCTCATTTTTAAATTGATTCTCGCAAGTGCTTTCATATTATTATGCTTCCGTCCATTCAACGAACGTATAATGTGATGTATTAACCAATCAGATGTCAAATGCGAAAACGGTAATATTATTACTATTTTGTTACATGCGCAATATTGATCGAGTTTCAAAGTGCAAGCACCGCGAGATTATGCGATTCTATATGAATTAATCTATAGGATGAATTCGCTTAGGCAGATTTACGTCGATATTTTCATTATTGCAATGCTTGGCCATTGAAGATATTAAAAAAATAGAAATTTAAATCAAGATCTTTTGTTCTTAAGAGATAAAAATTTTCGAAAAAAGAAAAAGAAGACAAAAGATATATTCACAACGTGGATGATTGCGTGGATGATCATGATCATTTCTTGCTGCTTTCGATATTTTAAAGTTTGACCGTTATTTCTTGTTATTAAATAAAAAATCGCACATAAAATATATTTTTTAAAAATATCTATCAAGTATCAAGTACTTAAGATAGAGAATTTGTTGGAAATGGACTATAAATCTTAATTTCAAAGTTTTGACAGCTTTAATTTGTCACAATAAAAGAGAAAAGTATGTTTATAAAATTAATTAATATTAATCTTAATTTTAAAAGGAGATTAAAAGAAAGTTATAAATTATATATTATTATTATACATAATAATAATTTCGCGGATTATAGATATATTTAGAATGATTTTACAAATGTAATGTTTTGAATAATGCATACATATAAAATGCATGTATATGAAAAACATAATAGTATAAATAAAAAATTTTAAAACAAGAATTATTCATATTTTTCTTTTTCTCTAGATATAATTTATATTTAGTTTTATAGTGAAATAAATCAAATGTTGGTGCATTTAAGCTGATCAAATAAAATACATTGTGTGTTTGTCTCTCATATTTATATTTAAAAACATTACTGAGTTCAGTCGATTGTTACATGAATGGCGATTACACCGTCATGACTGTAGGAAACACGGTTTTAGACGATAATATTTGATTTCACACGGATATCTATTCTTAGAGAAACACACGAATAATACATATATGATATGTGTCACATGTATGTACAATGCAGTATTGTATATACAATACTCGATCAGCTCAGGATAAATTGCAATTTATATTTGTCAACTTCACAATGGCAGGCTTTATTCTTTTTTATATTTACTAG